TGCATGGATATAATCATAAAACCTGTAACTGTCTTTCTGAATACCCCGTGTTAAATATTTTGTGGTTGCATGTGATCAGAAAACACTTTCCGACAGTCACTTTCATGATCTGGGAAGCGGCGCTCTGATTGGTTGGATGAAAGGTCGTTCTGACGTGACCCTTGATGGGATGTCCTCAGATCTTTGTTTAGCGATAGCGGGAACGAAGATCTGATTTTAATGAGATTGGTCACACGTCCAAGTCAGTGACAGACTCGTATGATTCTGTTATGGGTAAACTTCAGTACAGGTATGGAATTACCCCTAAGAAACACACACATGAAATTTGTCATCAACATCGAACACAAAGTTAAACATGAACATCAAGGGAGCTGTCACGCCCTAATGTCAAAAGTAAAAGATGACGGGGGTTTGAGGATTACACTAGAATGCCAAACTAAGTACCCTTGGTTTTTTGTGTTATTGTTCTCACTTTCTGAAATTCAGAGGTATTTCAAAATTACATTCAATGCAATAACGTAAAGGGAAGCATTAAAGCCTCCGCCTTGTTTTAGAATGAGTGAGTGAGTTGGATTTAACACCACTTTAATATTATTCCAGTTATATCACGGCGTGTCAGCTTAATGTGGGAGAAAAGCCCGAAGTGATGCAGGTCTCACACGTTTACCACTTCGGTGAAACCAACCACGGGCTTGGTGCTGACAAACCTAGAAACATAATCGGGGTGAAACGGGATTCGAACCCACAATCATAGGTTTCTGGCATGCCCAAGGGACGCAACTCTGCACAGCGAATTGCGGCACCTTAGACGACTGGGCCACCGGTGCCCCCCTCCCTCGTTTTTGGTCCTGTTATCGGTGAAATACAAGTCAAATTTGGAAACTTTTATTCATTTTCGGAAAATATTGGCCTCCATCTTATGCAGTCCCTGGGGTCGCTAGATTGAAACACAACAAGAGAAACCCTCAAGGACCCAGGACCTCCATCATTATCACTGCCATATGATGGGCTGTTTCATCAAGGTGGGAACTACAAACAGGTGAGACATATGCATGTGAAGTTCTGAACCAGACAATCCAGTGATTGATATCATGAGCGTTGATCTACGCATCTGGGATACCATGACAGCCAAGTCCAGATCCTGTTAGACATAACAAGCATTGGTTGCTGAAGACCAATTGTAACCTAGAACTTCACGTGATGTACTAGAGATAAGGATCAAACCTTGGTTTCCTTGTGTTAAAAGCAAGCACCCTAACCACTTGCCCACCAGCCAGCAACATGAATAAGATTGATCTTATATGATTCACATGATTTTATGATGAATAGGATTTTCACAAAAAAATAATTACACAATTTAGAAATATTGCAGGTATATTGTGAGTATGTAGACTATTGAACCACGCATATCCTAGTCATGTGAAGAACAGAACTTGGACTTTCAACACACAGAAATACACTGTAACCACAGGCTTAACCCACTGCACTGGTTGAGAGTTCTGTCTGCATGTCGCAGGTTACGAGCACATGGACCTTTTCATGTTGGAATAGCACCCATCCTGACCTAAATTTGTCAAAACCTTCCTATAAACAAGCAAAATTCAAATTAACGTAAATCTGTTTTAAACATTTGTTTATTTTAACATTCACAAAAACTGCAAAAAAATAACCTCAATACAACACAGGAACACATAACCGTTGCCACAGTACCACAAACACTGGTCCTCCCATCACCAACCCAGGTCAACTAGACCTAAACACGCTTCACTTAATGTATTCCTAAACTATCTCCCACAAGGTCTTCCTGATACAATTATACCACACCACAGTGTCCACAGCACTAAGTGGACCGCCTCCGTGGTCTTGTGGTAGAGCGTCCGCCCGGAGAGCGGAAGGTCCAGGGTTCGATCCCGGGCCGCGTCATACAAAAAGACGTTAAAAGATTGTACTTGTTGTTACCCTGTCTGGCGCTCGGCATTAAGGGGCTAAAACAAGGACTGGTCGGCTCGGAGTCAGTATACTGTGTCTGAGTGGGGTATTCATGTTAAACTGCGGCATGGTATCTCAGTGAGCTAGCACTTTAAATCGGCATCAGTCCGGACTAGTACAAGCAGCCACACACACACACACAAACACGTGCATGCACGTCGCTATATAAGTGCAATAATCTTGGACGCGACGTTAAACCCTATTTCACCTCACCACCTCCACAGCACTAAGTGACAGAATGGCTCCTGACTAACGCTGATTACACTCGTCATGAAGTAAACCGTCCGTCTACCTTTGATCAGGACTGACACTTGGAATTATGGGAAACCAATGATACGTGACCAGACATGGATCGGGTGATAAGTCCACAATAAGCATTAAGGTTAACAAGTTAGAATTTCACAGTTTACGTGAAGATCAGATTTCTGATACCAAGTAGACATAATTGTGTTCATTGCTTTCTGTTTAGTGTTGTAGGGGTGTCAAGATCAGCAAGACATCAGATATCACAAAGACTTTTTTTGCTGGTGGTTGTTTAAAGCTGCACTTACCAATATTTCAGCTGTATGATAGCCGCCTGTAAATAATCAACTCTGGACCAGATAAACCAGTGATTGATATTGAGAGCAACGTCCCATATCAGTGATAGAAATTGGCACTAGTCCTGCAGTCCTTGCCAAAGTGTCCAATAGTTAAGGTATCATAAGGACAAGTAGAAAAATTTGCCATTTTAAAGGGTTTGACTATATGTTACCATTATAAGGACTAGTGAACTAAAAAATCACCCGATGAGACAAGCATCGGTTGTTTGGGATCTGTCATTCAGTTATCAGTATTGGTGAGGCGAGGTGAAATGGGGTTTAACATCGCGTCCAAGATTATTGCACTTATATAGCAATGTACATATACGTTAGTGTGTGTGTGTGTGTTACTGCTTGTGCTAGTCCGGTCTAATGCCGATTTATAGTGCTAGCTCACTGAGATACCATGCCACAGTGTAGCATGAATACCCCACTCAGACACAGTATACTGACTCCGAGCCGACCAGTCCTTGTTTTAGCCCCTTAATGCTGAGCACCAGACAAGGTAACAACAAGTACCATCTTTTAACGTCTTTTGGTATGACGCGGCCGGGGATCGAACCCCGGACCTTCTGCTCTCTGTCAGTTTTGGTCATCAGAGTACATGAACTATTGTAATGGTGTCGCTGAAGGTGACACGGAAAAGTGACTGAATCTTGTCTCATGGTGCAGTCAACATTATTCAAATTACGTCTGTCATTTTTATTGTTGTTTAAAGCTGTAATCACCAAGTTGCCAGGAATATGATAGCGGCCGAAAAATAATCAAGCCTGGACCAGATCAACCAGCGATTGATATTGTGAGCAACAACCAACATTGGCACACAATCAACCAAGTAGCCAAGCCTGACTGTCACCTCATAACACAAGCAGAGGTTGTTGGGGATCAATCATTCAATTGTCAGTACTGGTCGTAACAGTGAGTGAGTGAGTGAAATATTGTAATAATGTCCTCGAAGTGACACAAAAAAGTGAGTAAATCTTGTTTATACTGCAGTTGCCAATATTTAAGTTTTGCCCTTGTCTGTTGGATTGTTGTGTGTACAGATGTCATGCATTGTCCATATAATCACAATTATCATTAATTATCAGTTATTGATATATACATGTAAGTTACTTTTGCCATTGAGTTCGGTACATCGCCGTCCTTAAAGTGGCCCCGCAATAAGGCGACCCCCTGTACAAGCCTTCATGGTCAGTGCTAATTTATATACCCTGTCTATAAAGAGAATCGGAATGAAACACGTCACCAGCACATACACAATCCCTACAATTTAAATAAAAACATGTTTGTCTTTGGCAGAAAAGAAATACATTGTATCCCTTCAGCGAATTCAGGGCAGAGAACAGATCATAACAATTAAACTTGGTCAATACAAATTTGAAATTTGAGATAAAACACCACCAGACATGATGATTTGCCGATTAAATTGTATTTCCTGTTCTGCTCGGCATTGTTTTATATGCAGGGGTTAAGATTACCGTGTGCATTGTCTCTTAAACTAAGCCGGAAGTAGCAATCAGCTGTATACAAGTTTCTTGGAATCTACCAGTGATTTGGTTAAAAATTACCCAATAATATACCTTTAAAGAATTTTGATACAATGATCGGAAGAATTGTTTCTGAAACTATTATTTTATCTGGAATAATTTATTCCAATATCATGTTATTTTAGTAGTATTTTACTATATATTATCACTATTGCCGGATATTTTTTCGTATGGAATGATTTGACCTATCACCAGCGATGCACCTGTGCTCGCAGAAGCGAAAACTTTATGTTGACATATAATAGTCAAACAACAGCAAATATGACCTTAAGCGGGTCATGTATGGCGTTTATGATATATGTATCCATTCTCAATCCACTAAAGTTTCTTTCAAGGCATCAATAGCGGTAATCTGACCATGGTTGCTGTAAATAACGATGAGTTGTGCGATCTTCCGATCCCTTCACATACAATGTCAACAATATTGAATGAAATTTTGAAAAAAATTAATAAAACAGATGACAAACTCCTTTTATAACCAGAAAGTGTAACATGTTGACATGATATTTCTGGTGTTATGTGCTCACAGTAATGTCTTTGTGTTGGTTTAGTAAATGAGGCTACCCCTACCCCTGAGGCTGAGGAAGCTATCCAGCTATCATCTCCTGACCTGACTCTGTGTCTGTGAATGAGGCTACCCCTACCCCTCAGACTGAAGAAGCTATCCAGCTATCACCTCCTGACCAGACTGTGTCTGTGTCTGTGAATGAGGCTACCCCTACCCCTCAGACTGAGGAAGCTATCCAGCTATCATCTCCTGTCCTCACTGTGTCTGTGCATGAGGCTACCCCTACCCCTCAGACTGAACAAGCTACCCAGCTATCATCTCCTGTCCTCACTGTGTCTGTGAACGAGCTACACTACCACACAACGGACTCACCCTCTCGGACTCCAGCGTCTCAGTGAACTCCTGCTGCATGAGCTGCTTGGACAACTCGAGCTGCTGGTCGTATTTCTCCTTCAGAACCTCCTCGTCATCCATGTCTACAACAGTACCAGCACCAGTCAGTGAGCGATGTTTTATTGTGCAGTCAGCACATATTCCAGGATTATCACATCTTATAAATAGTCAAGTCTGGGGCAGACAAACCAGTGGTTGACATCATCAGTGAACAAGTAGTGAGGGGCATGGGTTTAATTCCACTTTGAGTGAGTGAGTGAGTTGGGTTTAACGCCGCTTTTAACAGTATTCAAGTTATATCGTGGTGTGTCAGCTTTATGTGGGAGGAAAGCTCCAAGTGGTGCAGGTCTTAGACATTTACCACTTTGGTGAAACCCATGAGCACGGGTATGGTGCTGACAAACCTAGAAACATAATCGGGATAAACCAGGATTTGAACCGACAATCATGCCCAAGGGACGCAACACTGCACAGCGAATCGCCGCGCCTTAGACGACTGGGCCACCTGTGCCCTCTAGTTCCACTTTGAAAAGTATTTCAGTTATATAATGACATGTCAGCTTAATGTGGGAGGAAAGCTGACAAACCTAGAAACATACTGAGGCCCGGACAAATCTGGGATTTGACCAGGTAATCATCAGCCTGGTCAAACATGGAGGCCACCCAATCCTCACCAATCGGCTTTTTCCACAAGCACACGGTACAGGGGTCCACAAATGGTCAGACGTAATCAGGCTAAATATTAAGGGAGTGCGGTATTATCGGTATATTGTTAAGTTGAGGTTCATTCTTTCCACAATACATATCACAATATAACTTCATGCTCAATATATCGGGTGATTTCAAATAGCGATTTTTATTATGTGTTTAATGTTATATACTTGCCAAATGCTTTCCCTGCCCCGGATGGCTGCGTATTTAATGACAGAGTAAACATCATGTTGTACTAGCATCTTGTTTTGTTCCATTTATGAATTCCATTCATATCTTAATGTATCAGATTGCTTCTGAATTCAAAATTTAGAATCATACAATATATCGTGATACGTATCGTAATACAGCCTTGTGCATCGCAAAATATTGTGATACACTTTAAACCTCCAATACCCATCCCTACTAAATATATAAGTGCAAAACATCACTCACCGGAAACAAGCTTGTCATATCTTTCTCTCTCTTCGTCCAACTGAGACTGAAGACTCTCTATGTCCTGGTGATGCTTCTGGCAAAGTTCATCTCGCTCTGATTGTAATCTCTCCAACTCGGCTTCCAAAGATTTAATCTTTGATTCAAGCTGTATCCTAACCTCAGCATCAGCATCAACCGTATCCTCCACAGGAACAGCATCAACTTCATCAACATCAACAGGAACAGCATCGACAACATCAACAGCAACAGCCGTTGCACCACTTGATATTCCCTCTGAGGAACTCAAATCACTGTCGCCTGTGTCCACTGAGACTGTCTGCTCCAGCTGAACATTTGTGTCAACAGAAGTTACCTCCCTTGATACTACAGACGTTACCTCCCTTGATACTACACGACCAAACCCACTTACTTGTTGACTTAATTCCAAGTTTTTCACATTTTCTTCGTGAATTGTTTGTAATTCAGCAGCCTGTCGTTTAAGTTCAATTTCAAGTTGTACTTTGAACTCTGACTGTAGGGTTTCGATTTCCACTTGACTGTCGTGCTCAAGGTCATGTCGAAGGGACTCCAGCTCTTGCTTGTGAGAGTGCTCCAGCTCCTCCAGCTTCGTGATGAGCTCGTGCTTTTCCTGAGAGTAATCAACACTGCTCGAGTCATCACTCCGGATGTCCTTTTCTTGCAACTCACTCAAATATTTCTCCTTTTCATCCTCAATATTTTGAAGCAGTTTCTCCTTTTCTGCAACAACACCTTCCAGCCCCTCAATAACTTTCTCCTTGTCTGAAACAACAGTCTTAATATCCTCAACATCCTTCTTCCTCTCAGACACAACACACTGGAGCTCCAAGATATCTTTCTCTTTATCAGACACAACATTCTGGAGCTCCAAAACAGCCTTCACCTTTTCAGAAAGTTCAGAATTCAAATCACTAATTCTCTTTTCTTGTTCATTTAACTGATCTTTCAAAGATTTCACTTCCTCAGCCGATTCTCTTGATCTTCCTTTCTCTTCTTCGAGCAATTTTTCCAAGTCACTGATCTTGACGTCACGCTCTTGCACCAGCCTCTCCAGATCCGAGAGTCTTGACACAGACTTATGGGCCCCGCGTGGTGATTCCGTGGCAGAAGACTCATCACTATCAGTAATGACAGTCAACATGGTTGTCCTCTGCACATATTCTCTTTCTTTAGCAAGTTTCTCAAACTCTCTTGAATCAGATAAATTTTCAGAATCTCTATCGGTGCTCGTTAGCATGTTGCTGATCTGGGTTTCATATTTAGTCCTCAAATCAGTTATTTCGTCGGAATATGTTTTCTCAATATCCTGCACATGTTTTTCATAGTATGTCCGCAAGCTTTCAAGTTCTTTGGTTTGTTGTTCTTGAGTTCGAATCTTTTCCTTGTCGGACTCTGAGGACAGAAAGAGTGAGTGAGTGAGTGAGTGAGTGAGTGAGTGAGTGAGTGAGTGTGAGTGAGTGAGTGAGTGAGTGAGTGAGTGAGTGAGTGAGAGTGAGTGAGTGAGTGAGTGAGTGAGTGAGTGAGTGAGTGAGTGAGAGAGTGAGTGAGTGAGTGAGTGAGTGAGTGAGTGAGTGAGTGAGTGAGTGAGTGAGTGAGTGAGCAAGTATCCATGACTACAAAATGGCGAAGACTGACCATCTTCGATATTGTAAAATTTACTTCATTGTGTACAAAATAAATTGGATCTACATGTGCCAAACACTTTAGTTCCTAACATATGATGACACGTTAAGCTCCCAATATATCGCAATACTTTTACCTCCCAATATATCACAATATGTTTTGCAAAGCAGTCCTCGTTATCACAATAGATTGCAATACCTATTTTTTGTCAATATATATATATATATATATATATACATACATACATACATACATACATACATACATACATACATACATACACACACACACAGCCCTAAATATTACACACCAGAAGTGAGGGCTAGCTTCTCCTGGAATGTTCGGACTTGGTCCTCATACTGTGACTGCAGCGCCTCCATCTCCCGCTGCAACACCGTCACCTGCTCCGACTGCGATGTGACACCTTGTGTCCGGGACTGTAACATCATCTCGTACTCCGACAACATCTGACTCCTCAGCTGGGAGATCTCTTCTCGCTGACTCTCAAGAAGATTCCGGATTGCTGAAACAAAGCATAGTGGGTAGAAGGGAGATAATTCATGTTCATTTCCTGGTAAGAGACAAAGAGAAAGCAGGTTTTAGCATCATGGAATACAATTTTAGGCTAAAAAACAAAAACAGTCTTGGTTCTCAGGCTCCGCCACATCATCAGAAAGTCCTACGCAGGTTTCATTTTTATTTCCATTTTCAAAACAAAAAAATCCTTAAATATTTCGCGTCTTGAACACACGACCCCAACAGGGAAATGCTACAATAAAAAACCCAATGCATTCCAATATAGGGTGCAGTTACTTCCCTTTACATGCTCTCTCGTGTATGGTCAGGGCAGCAACATAGGAGTCTGTGTGCTTATTTTGTAGTTTGCAAATTTGGTCAATGAAACCATACAATTTATGATAAAACATCACGAGACATGATGATTTTACAAATTCAATGGTATTTGTGTACAGCATGCCAGACAATGTTTTATACGCAGAGATTAAGATCACATGTGTAATTGTCTCATAAAATAAGCCAGATATCTGTGGGTGATTTAGTTTGGAAAATACTTAATATAATGGCCAATATCATAACTGAAAAGAAATTTCAATACAGTGATAGGAACCCATGTTCGTTTAAAGGCCAGTTCATGGTAAGTTTGCCAATCAGTTCATACACAATTTTGCAAAATTAAAGAAATGTAAGTCCAGATACATAATGAACACTTTAATCGCCAGATAGTGAAATAACAGGACTAACTTCTGTACTTCAGTACAGCATTTGTTCCAGTGTTGCGTGCTCACGATAACATCTTTACATTGTGAAATATAATCGAAGAACATTGTATATGTGTATTATGCACACACTGGTTGTCCAACAGAAGTCAAATACTGTATTCCAGCATTTTACTCATCAAGGAATACATTTGTGAAGGGATGCTATTTCCCAGTTGATTGTACACAAGCGTTTATTTTGTTACACACTTGTTCGAACAACCGTAAAAAAAGAAAGAAATAGGGTCGCCCGCCTTCCCACACTATATTTCAAAAGCCATTGCCTGAGAACCATTTTTTTTTACTTTTTAAAGCTTTAACAATGAATGTATCCTTTCAGTTTTCATATTTAAGGACAATGTCAAACTAGCATGCAGGCTAAACTGGTCTTAAGCAACCAACGTAGCTGACGTATGTCATCATATCCTAACTGCAGAGATCGATGCACATGATGTCACTCACATTGTCTGTTCCAGACATATTTACAGACTGGTGTCACACAGCTGGAATATTGCTGAGTACAGTATTAAACAACAAACAAATAAAACGTATGAATCTATCTAAAAATAGCAGAAGTTAGTTCACAGCAGAATTCTGCAGCGTGTTGATGACAATTTAGGCAGACATCTTGTATCTGAACACTGAAGCTACCTTCTGAAGTGCTGGGGTCACTGAGATCACGGGGGTCACCACCAGGGGGAGCTTCTTCAAGGTCACGGAGCACCTGCAGTTCCAACTGCTCATTGATTCTCTGGAAGACAACATAAGATGGTCAATATTATCTTCAATTATTCTTGTATCTCCATTCTATTATGATCAACACCCGGGACATATTCATTATATTAGCTTCATTTTGAATCACACAATGCTAAAAATAGACGTCCAATCAAATGACACTGTTCTTCCAAGATCAAAGCAAGCAGTGATGTCACCCATACTCGTCACATCCTTTACGTGCCGTCATAAAGACTGTAGAAAGTCTTGCAGCACAAGGACTTCCCTTCCCCATCTTAGTATCATAACCACAGTCTTGTGATTCTCTTCAATACATCAAGGGCTCTCAGGCCGCCATTTTGCATGTAAATCTATCCGAACTGACGTCCAGAAGAGGCATTTGATTAGTTGTTGAACTCAAGCTGATGAGCAAGAGTAATTCTGTGCCCAGTTAGAGATGAAGACAGAGTGAAGATATGATACACTGGATTATCAAGGATGGGTCAATATTTTCACTTTTCAAGCACATTAGTTTTTTTTCCTTCCATCTGCTCTACTTCATGTACGACATAATCATAATGATCACATGAGGTTATGAAAAGCAAATGTTCTTCAATTTCGGACAATAACATTTTGTATCAAAGATTTTATCATCCTTTACAAATTTGTAGCATGCTGAAGATAACCAAACACCTTTCTTCTTAATTCCTCTTTAGATTCACATCACCCACACAAAAACAACCTGTCATGCCAGCCGGCACATGCTAACACACTTTCACTCAACACAAGATTTTCCCAGCAGCCCCACTTCCGACATGCACAGTGGGAGTAGCTTAGCAGATGATATATCAACAGTTCAACAAACTTTTAATCTGACCATGCATCTATTTACAGTGAAAATCCAACATGTTTTGTTTGAGTGTTCCCTGGCAGCAGTAGACACCCTTGCCAAATCCTCCCAGGGGTAGCACGCAATTACTTCTCTACAGTTCCTCGACACCCGACACCAGAAACCCGACACCCGACACAGACACCCGACACTCGACACCCGACACCAGAAACCCGACACCCGACACAGACACCCGACACCCGACACCCGAAACCCGACACCCGACACCCGACACAGACACCCGACACTCGACACCCGACACCCGACACCAGAAACCTGACACCCGACACAGACACCCAACACTCGACACCCGACACCCGACACCCAAAACCAGACACCCGACACAGACCCCCAACACCCGACACAGACACCCGACACAGACCCCCAACACCCGACACAGACACCCGACACAGACACCTGACACTCGACACCCGACACCGACACCGACACCCGACACTCGACACTCGACACTCGACACCCGACACCCGACACCTAACTGCTGCACTAAATCAGCCAGGGTGTCAGGATTCACTCATGTATCACTGCACTGCACTTTACACCTGATGAAACATAATGGTCTATCTGACTGCAGAATACTAGAATACGCCTCATTAACCAATAATGTGAGTATAACAAACTGGTTGAAAGCACAGACCTCTTGTCAGCCTGACGACAAAAGAGAAGTTTGTTCCCCAACATAACAAATGGATACAAAGACTGTTGAGCACTTCATGTGTGTACACCTTAATCACACAAACGGACAACAGTTTACAAAGTTTGCTATTTAACAAGTAAATGCAGGGCTGACTGAATTGGAGAATGTTGTTTGTTTGTGTGTTTAATGTCGCACTCAACAATATTCCAGCTATATGACAGCAGTCTGTAAATAATCGAGTCAGGACCAGACAATCCAGTGATTGATATCATGAACATCGATCCACACAATTGGGATACGATGACATGCAATCAAGTCAGCGAGTCCGACCACCCGATCCCATTAGTCGCCTCTTACGACAAGCACAGTAGTCTGTTACGGCAATCATGGGTTGCTGAAAACTTATTCACACCCAGATCTTAACAGGTAATTCTAGAATGTCCAAATGATTGTATGGTTAGGGTCGGCGTGACCTCCATGCATGCCGCCCACTCACCTGCACCAGGTGTTCGTATCTCTGGGTGAGTCGCTCATCCACTGAACCCAAACCTGACGTAGCACCCGGGTCTGTACAAATAAAAACACCAAGGTCATTGTATGAACTATATATTACACACTTTATTCAAATTCAACCTTAAACAAAGATCAGATTTGGATTGTTTGATTTTGTTTCGAGATCATCACATTCTTTCTAAATCTTCCATCACCTGTGAACACATATGGTTGTGTTGTGATTCATGTCTATTGTTATTTACCTCATGGATATCAACTGACAATCCGTGCATAAACTGAGTATAAACTCTGAGAAACTATTCTTGACATTAAAGCTCATTGTCCAGCAAGAAGCTTTGATTTTCAGCAGTAGCTGGCTTCCCTGCACGAGTGAGTGAGTGAGTGAGTGAGTGTGGTTTTACGCCGCTTTTAGCAATATTCCAGCAATATCACAGCGGGGGATATCAGAAATACCGTATTTTCTTGAGTATAGTGCACCCTTTTTTTAAAAAAACACACAGCTGTGCAGAAGGGGTTGCGCATTATACACGAAATAATGAGTTTTGATGTTTTTTCCCCCATGGAAAGACATACACGTGAGCACGTAACACTGGAAATACCAGTCAACAAATACATATTGAAGTACGCAAATTATTCATGTAATTACACTGTCTGGCTATAAAAAGTGTTCTTTGTATATCTGGACTTATGTTTGTATCTTATTTCATTAATTTTATTCAAAATTCCTTTTAATATTGTTTTAATTAATTTCGGCGAAATCGTGTGTGAAGCGCTGGGAAAATCGCACAACTCACCGTTATTAACAGCAACCACGGTCAGATTACCGCTATTGATGCCTTGAACGAACTTTAGTTGACAGAGAATGGATACATATATCATAAATGCCATACTTTGACTCGTTAAAAGTCATATTTGTTTTTGTTGGACGATTCTATGTCAACACGCAATTCTCGCGATCACGTGCATGATAGCCTTGACGGTGACTGGTCAGACTGGTTCCATGTAAAAAATAATACCTGGCAATAGCGATCAGCTGCTTCGCTTAGGGTTATTATTATTTTAAATATGTTTAGTAAAAGCTGCATCTAAATCAACAAGATATTGGAATAAATTATTCCTGATAAAAAAAATAGTTTCAGATACACATGTACAATTTTTACCTATCCTTGCATTAAAATCCTGTAAAGTTATATCATTGGGTGTGTCTTGACCGAATCACCAGTCGATTCCAAGAAAACTTGTGTACAGCTGATTGCTGTGTCCGGCTTAGTTTACGAGAAAATACACAAGGTAATCTTAATCCCTGGATCCCTCTGCCTAGCAGAAGAAAAAATACAATTTAAACGGTAAATCAACATGTCTGGTGATTTTTTATCTCAAATTTCGAATTTGTACTGACCAAGTTTCTCATCAACCGTTCGTTTGCCGGACTTCAAGGAGTACGGTGTAATTTTTTTTCTGCGCTTGGTATTCGAATTTTTTTTTTTTTTAAAAATACTGAATCCGCTAGAGGGGGGTGCGCATTATACATGGGTGCGCACTATACTCAAGAAAATACGGTAGACTTCACAAAGTACCCATGTGGGGAATCAAGCCTGGGTCGTCGTCATGACGAACAAACGCTTTAACCACCAGGCTACCCCACCGCTCCTCCTTGCACTAGAACCAGGCCCTTACTTGATTTGTTGGTTGAAAATAGGCTGCATGTATTCACAGATGATATAGGAACATAATGCATAGAAAATCATGAAGTACTGATACATGAGCTCTGTAGAACGTGTAATAAATTCACAATCATCATCTCCACCTACCAGTCTGTGAGTGGCTGTGTAGTGTTGTCTCCACAGAGGCAAGTTGCTCTTTGGTAAGTGTTTTACGTAGACAGGTTATGTGGGCGGCATGCTCCGCCTTCAGCTCCGACCGCACCAGGCTCAGCTGACTTGTGTGGATCTGCTCCATCGCCACCTTCATCGCCTTCACCTGCAGCTCTACTTCATCCTGGAGAAGAGAGGGAGCAAGTGTGTCAGGGAGGTGGGTGCGTGGGACATTTCTAACATCACTGTGTTGTGAAACAGTATTTCAGTCATATTCCAGCATGTCAGACCAAACTGAGCAGTTTCACATTTAGAACTTTGGTGGAACACACAAACAAAGGATCATAATCAGGTCGAATTTGGGACACAAAACCAAGATCACAGGATTCTGGCATAATAAGGGAGGCGACTCATGAGGGAAAGGTGAGGTGAAATGGGGTTTTACGTCGCGTCCAAGATAATTGCACTTATATAGCAACGTGCATGTACGTGTGTGTGTGGCTGCTTGCACTAGTCCGGACTGATGCCGATTTATAGTGCTAGCTCACTGAGATACCATGCCGCAGTTTAACATGAATACCCCACTCGGACACAGTGTACTGACTCCGAGCCGACCAGGCCTTGTTTCAGCCCCTTAATGCCGAGCGCCAGACAGGGTAACAACAAGTACCATCTTTTAACGTCTTTTGGTATGATACGGCAGGGGATCGAACCCCGGACCTTCCGCTCTCCGGGCGAAGTGGATGTGCAGTTTGACTCAGTTCTCGTGGAGAAGATTGAGGTAGTGCCACCATATGAGCGTGAAATGTTTTTAGGTCTCCCGAACTGAAGTAACAAGTTACTGATTCCAAAGACTGAAATGCACATCAACCCCCAAGAGACATGAAAGTCTTCCAGTCTGATATACCTTGAGCAGACATAGAATGCCGTGTTAGAGGTAGAAAGATGTGTGTATGTTACAGAACTATGTCTATTCACGTAGCTGCTGTCTATTTCCATGCGTTACTGACCCGGTTCTCGTGTTTGGCCTGTTGGATCTGGCGGTGTGTGAGTTCGGAGATCTGGGTCAGCACGGTATCCAACAAGGCCGCCTTCTCCTCCGCCAACTCTCCTCGCAGCCGGGCAACACTCTGTGCCAACAAGTGCAAGATCATCATATTTTAAAAAAGTTATTTTGCTTCAGGTGCAACGAACATGTTCAATTGTTCTTTGGATATGTTCCTGAGGAAAGCGAGGTAACTGACTGTAAAAGTCCAGTTTCCACACTTGCCGAACAGGGCTGGAGTTATAACAAAAGAATCTATACACAGACCAATCAAAATCGTGTAACAAAATCAACATCTGGTTCATAAACTGCTGTGCAGATTTCAGTCGATTGCAGGATTTGCTCGGCATAACAGATATTTTCCAAATCTTTTCATGTTTCTAATCAAGGTGCTGACATGACATCGCAAGGTAAGACCAGTTATATCACAATATAGATCTTGATTATCGATCAGATTGTCCTGACTGGATGCCGCCATTTGTTTGAAGCAAATGCAGGTGATATGAGAGGTGGAAAATGATTGGACTATAAGAAGAACATAGAAGGGACATAACTCGCAACAGCCACTGGTGGCGCTACAATCAAGCCTAGAAATTCCAGCCTAATTCGGCTGTACTGTAACTGTGTATGTTTCAAAACAGATATAAAGTTAGATATCATTCTATTAGATAAATTCTATAAACATGGGGTAGTGGGGACCTACTCTACCCTAGACTCCACACAGTGACAAAAACATGGGGACCTACTCTGCCCTCGACTCCACACAGTGACAAAAACAAGGGAACCTACTCTACCCTGGACTCCACACAGTGACATAAACATGGGGACCTACTCTACCCTGGACTCCACACAGTGACATAAACAAGGGAACCTACTCTACCCTGGACTCCACACAGTGACATAAACAAGGGAACCTACTCTACCCTAGACTCCACACAGTGACATAAACAGGGGAACCTACTCTACCCTAGACTCCACACAGTGACATAAACAAGGGGACCTACTCTACCCTGGACTCCACACAGTGACATAAACAGGGGGACCTACTCTACTCTAGACTCCACACAGTGACATAAACATTGGAAGCTACTCTACCCTAGACTCCACACAGTGACATAAACATGGGGACCTACTCTACCCTGGACTCCACACAGTGACATAAACAGGGGGACCTACTCTACCCTAGACTCCACACAGTGACATAAACATTGGAAGCTACTCTACACAGTGACACAAACATGGGGTACTGGGGACCTACTCTACCCTGGACTCCGTACAGTGACATCAACATGGGGTACTGAGGACCTACTCTTGCCTGACTCCGTACAGTGACACTGTCCAGGCATTTGTTACCTGCTGGTGATGTTCCTGAAGCTGCAAGTCCTGCTGGGAGCTGCGGTCCCGCTCTGCATCCAGTTCACCTTGTAAAGCCGCCATCTGAGATTCATGCTGGACCCGTAGTGACTCCAGCTGGAACAGAAGACCAGATGTCAGTCCAAGAATCAGTCCAAGGCATCAGCATTATTTACATGGATAAAGTTTCACTCATCATGGATACCACTGGATTCTAAGCATGCTGCTCAACCTGAAAATGATATTCCTCCAGACAGTTCATTGTGAACAAAACTAACTATATCATTGAAGAAGTAATGGTCCAGATACATCAATGAAATGTGAAATGTACAAAGTATAACCAACTGCAGCTGATCTGAAGAAGGTCCAGTTTGTGTCCTGGTGAGGTACATCAGGGTGTGTACAGTGAGGTACAGTCGTGGCCATGGAGGCGATCTCTGGGCAGACACACCACTGAGTGAGTGAGTGAGTGAGTGAGTGAGGTGAGGTGGGGTGGGGTGGGGTGGGGTGGGTGGGTTGAGTGAGTGAGTGAGTGAGTGAGTGAGTGAGTGAGTGAGTGAGTGAGTGAGTGAGTGAGTGAGTGAGTGAGTGAGTGAGTGAGTGAGTGAGTGAGTGAGTGAGTGAGTCAGTGAGGTTTTAACTCGCTGTAGGCCTATTCCAACCATATCAGGGCTGTGAAACCAGAAACTGACACAGTGTCCCAGGATAATGGAACCCAGGTCTTTGGTACGATGATCAAACACTATAACCACTTGGCCTTCTCACCCTCAAAGCAGCACCTCACACACTGCCAATGGCAACAATTAGCAACAATATTCAGTACCTTTGTCCATCCCCATTATGTCCACAAACACTCCACGAACACACAAACACAGTATAGAACAGTGTAGATGTTGCCTTTATAATGCTCCACCTGCCAGTGAATCAATCTGCTTATATTACATGTAGCTGTATTATGTCTACATGCTATCAATCAATACATGTCATGTCTGTCTCCTTCACCTCAGGAAACTCATCCCACGTCAAGGCTGCTCCAGGTGGGACATCATATTAGTTCGGACCTCAGTACCTCATCATTCCCTTGTCACCATCTGCTACATCACAGACCCAACATAAACCTGATACATTTTCTGTTTGCTCCTTCTGTACCAACATCCCAGAGACCAGGGCTGGGATGAGTCCAGATGTACTACCCAGGTACCCAACCCTCCATAACCTAACCCTTCCCGGGTACCCAACCCTCTATAACCTAACCCTTCCCGGGTACCCAACCCTCTATAACCTAACCCTACCCGAGTACCCAACCCTCTATAACCTAACCCTATCCGGGTACCCAACCCTCTATAACCTAACCCTACCCGAGTACCCAACCCTCCATAACCTAACCCTACCCGGGTACCCAACCCTCTATAACCTAACCCTACCCGAGTACCCTACCCGAGTACCCAACCCTCTATAACCTAACCCTACCCGGGTACCCAACCCTCTATAACCTAACCCTACCCGGGTACCCAACCCTCCATAACCTAACCCTACCCGGGTACCCAACCCTCTATAACCTAACCCTACCCGGGTACCCAACCCTCCATAACCTAACCCTTCCCGGGTACCCAACCCTCTATAACCTAACCCTATCCGGGTACCCAACCCTCTATAACCTAACCCTACCCAGGTACCCAACCCTCTATAACCTAACCCTAGGGGGTACCCAACCCTCTATAACCTAACCCTATCCGGGAACCCAACCATCTATGACCTAACCATGGAGGTCTAGATAATTTTTATATATCACGTGACTAAATATATCACGTGACTAACCACGGGTCCAGGTAGTCCTCAGGGTACCAGGATCCTACTCAGTACCAACCCGGCCCTCCCAGCTATAACAGAGACCCACCTAAATACATAACACATGGATTTCAAAAAGTTCCTTCAATGGTACTTAGAATGTCATTTTGGTATTGCAGGAAAAATGTAAAAATATTCTCAATATTTGAAAAAGTTTTCAAGGTGTCACCTCAGGTTAATAATCTTAAGCTGTTAGTTAAACACGTATGGTCTAAAGGATCAGAGTTCCATCAATGTTAACTCCGGCTGTAGTTTTGATAATGTTGTAAAGATATATTCCAAATTTCAAACTTATTTCACCTCAAGATAAAGTAAAATGTTTGAGAAGAAGAATTAAACGAAGACATGGCAACAACACCATGATTAACATAATTATACAACATGGAAATTGAAACAGTTATCAGTGAATGCTCTAGACTGTCTATCTATAGCCTAGCTCACTTGCCTCCAGTTGCATGCCGCAATGTTTTTCACAATTTAAACTTTATCTGACATCAGCTGACCTTAACACTATGGCAACACATATTTTATCATCTCTGACTGTTTGAGAAGACATCTCTTGGCCAACAAACCTCAGAACAAACTGTTTGTTTGTTGTTTAATGCCGCACTCAGCAATATTCCAGCCATATGATGACGGTCTGTAAATAATCGAGTGTGGACCAGACAATCCAGTGATTGACATCATGAGCATCGATCTACTCATTTGGGATACAATGACATACATCAACCAAGTCAGCGAGTCTGACCACCCATTCCCGTTAGTTGCCTCTTACGACAAGCCTAGTCGCCTTTTACGGCAAGCATGGGTTGCTGAAGACCTATTCTACCCCGGATCTTCACGGGTCTCAGTACAAACTGTGCCAATCAGGATAAGTCTAACAACTGAAGCCATTTACACAGTCCAGTGTCATCACCTGGTCCTGCATCTTTGTGGAAAAATGGTGGCAAGTTTTCTGCTTGACCATTATCTTAATGCCACTCACGGTATCTCAAATATTAATCAAAAACACCATTGGACACATATGACTTGGAAGTTGACTGTCAGAGATGGACTTTCCTGGCAGGAAAGTATTAAATGCTGTTATAAACATGTAAAACATTATTCAATTTATGTGAAATTTTGTTTCCAGGTTCATCTGTCAATTTACAATTGATTTGAAACAGTGAGTTTCTATGATAATGTTTTCATTACACATCCCATTGCGAGGCCTTATCTTATCTATTTTTTCAGTTGGCTTATGAGAATGACTGACAAAAAATTCCTAAAATTAGAAGAAAAAGCAAAATGATATTTGACAAAATAAATTATTTTTAGGAATCTGCTTTATGATTAGGTGAATTTAGTGTGGGGTTGAGTTGGGTTCAACACCACTTTGAACAGTATTCCAGTTATATCTTTCCGTGCCAGCTTGGATCTCGGACATTTATCACTTTGGTGAAACCAATGGGCACAGGTATGGTGGTGACAAACCTAGAAACATAATCGGAGCGAACTGGGATTCGAACCAATAATCAGATGAAATGGAAAAAAAACACCGATATCAAAAATACTGAACAATATGTATAAAAATCTTTATTCCAACAAACACAGAAAAAAATAATAACCTTGGTTACTTGCTATGTCAGAACTTGTTTTCATTAATTAGTAGCAGTAACAATCTGTAAGTTGAATTATCAATATCTATTTTTTCAACCACCAACATTGACTTTTAGGCCAGAATGTTTTGAAATCAATAAACAAAAACATAAGCCCTATTTAAGTCACTGAGAGCTAATTGATGTAAAAATCCTTCTTCATGAAGCTGGTTTGTAGTTTGGGCGTGGTACCCTGTGAGACAGGAAGTCGTCACCAATTCTCCTGATGCCTCGTATCAATGTACAGATTTGAAGTCAGCGTTGAAGCAATCTCAGGACACAGTCATTGCTTATTGTCAATACCATTCTTACATTAATTGTTAATATTACTATTAGTTTCATGGTTAATATTACTATTACAGTACGTTCATAACGAACTCGCTTATAACGAACTGACAGATATAACGAACTGGTCTTTCAGCCCCGGACATTTGCTGTATATATGATGTATACAATATGTATACAAGCCTATAATGAACTAAACTAAGTGGTCCCTTTGAGTTTGTTATAACAGTAGTTTACTGTAGTTTTATTGTTTATATTATATGCATATATATTGCTGTTGTAATTATCATGTTTCAACCGACATCGTTCACATATAATTTCAGCATTATTTTTTTATTTTTATAAATTTTTATTCAGTCTTATACACAGGATACATATGCACCCGAAAAACAGTACAGCTTTTTTAATGCAGGTACTTCTCAAAAGGATGTGGTACAGAGGAGGCCTAAGGCATAATCCACATCATGGTACAGATGAAGGCATATTTATGTATACAATTAAGAAGATGCGGCATTTATGGTACATCAAATTATGTTGCAAGCATCAAGTGAATAAGTTATTTTGCAGTTTGAGTAAACAAAGCCCATTTTCTATTAAAGGCAGAGAAGTCGTTATTTCTACGTGCAATATGATATTCAACGAATTTCAGCATTATTTAATTGCGACTAAATACATTATCTGAATTAACCCATTCAATGTGAAAATATTCCCTCTGTATATACGGTTAAAATCTATTAAAAGACTAATATTAATTGTATTCATATGAATCATTTCCTATGCACAAACAAGTATCTAATACCAAAATATCACCATGACAGCTGATATTCAAGAAACATCACACAATTTTAATAAAGCCAACCCTATATTTCACACCATGAGTATAGTGAGAGAGGGGTGGTTCTATGTGGTAGACGTGGGTAGCACTACCTTTGTGTTGACAGTGTGTGGAGAGTCGACACGTCCCCCATTCCTGACACTGACATGCACCAGACAGATGTTATTTACATGCAAACTGCCAATCAAACGATGTGTCCCACCATTGTGGCTTCCCGATATACACGCAATGTACACCAGGGTGATCTCACAGTGCCATATAGTGGCCTTGTCTCAGGTATGCAATCAATATCATGTCCACCTGGACGAAACACACACACTCCAACCAGCTCCGTCTATTTCATTGTAGGGCAAAATTAGGCATATATTTCAAAGGAAACATCCAGATTTGACGACAGAGAATACCACTGTCGTGTATATCTGAACATTCATTGTAGATTACCTGCAGGTGACATGTTTAAATATCACATTCGAGTCAGTCTCCCGCTCAACTTGAAATACATGCTTGAATGG